CACCTCTGCCGCCGCCTCTAGCTGGCTGGGCAGGCTGTGGAATCTCCGATGCCTGAATCATAGCACGAGAACTCTGATGCTGGAAGCTGCCATAAACTCGAGGGCAATATCTGACAATGTGCCTCGGATCACCACAAGCATGGCAAGACCTCGTCTGCTGCGGCTAAGCACCCCTTAACCTCGGGCAAACCCTCCTGTTGTGACCATACTCACCACACTCATAACATCTACACGAACGCTGCAGCTGAGGGAACTGAGGCTGACCCTGTCGACCTGAATGACCACCTAAAGTACCATGAGTGACATGGGGAGCTGACTGAAAGGGCCTGGGAGGATGGCCTCTACCATAAGTACCTCTACCTCCAGACGAGGTACCACTGAGCCTGCCTGCATGACGGGGCCTCTTATCCGACCTATGACCGCCTCCCTGTGGCAGGACCACCTCAACTCTACGGCCCACATTGGCCGCCTCCTGAAAAGTGATCTCACTCCCGGCTTGAGCCACTGTACCCGGCTGATCTGCCACCGCTGGCTGAACTCCTGGAAGCAAACCCGCCCGAATGACACTCTCCACGAAGCCTACCAATTGAACTAGAGCGTCCTGAAGATCTAGGATGGCAATGAACCCCTCTGGGACCTGAGCTGGGCCCACCGGGACTGCTGGGGCTGGGACCTCCTCCTCCAAATCAACCTGAGGCTCCGCCACTGGGGCTACTGCTGGGGACTCGGACTGCTGAGCGGTAGATAAGGACGCGCGTGTTCTCGCTATCTGCAAAAGAACAGAGTAGAATTTCAATCGGTGTTTGAGAAACAGAACCACACGACAAGAAAGAACAAATGTGAAGTTTTTCCTAACTCTGTAGCCTCTGGGGGATAAATACAGACGTCTCCGTACCGATCCCTCAGACTCTACTAAGTTTGTCCGTGAGTTGTGAGACCTATGTAACCTAGAGCTCTGATACCAACTTGTCATGTCCCGGATTTTCCACCCTCGGGAGTCGTGATGGCGCCTACTAATAGGAGCTAGGCAAGCCAATTATCAATTACCTCTTTTAACGAACCACGACAATATTAGAAATAATGAAACATTTAATAATAAAGCGGAAGTCTTTAATATAAATAAACTAAAAAAAAATGCGGAAATTCAACTTCAACCTCTACCCAAGACTGGAGTCACTAACTCACGAACGTCTATAGAATACTACATACAAAGTCTGAACAAAGTACAGTACTGTTTGCTTCGGTACAAGTGATAACAAACTGAGTAAAATAGGAAGGCACTCTGGTCTGCGGACGTTAGCAAGGCTACCTCGAATGTCCCTGGACTGTAGTAAACTCCCAATCAACTACTGCTCTGATCCAAAAGCTGCTCCGGTACCGTGATTTGTGCAAAAGAGCACGGAAGTGCAGCATCAGCACAACCGATCCCATGTGCTGGTAAGTGCCTGGCCTAACCCCGGCGAAGTAGTGACGAGGCTAGACAGGACTACCACACAAACCTGTACAGATATATGCAATAGAAGGAAAATATACAGAACTTAAATAGCTAGGAGGGAGGGGAGCATGCTATGGGGGAGTAGCAGTTCAGATATAAAGTCAACAGATAGGAAAATGAAACTGTACAATAACAACTATTAAGGAGAGCAAGATAATCAACAATTTAAAATACAAACTCAATAAATGAGGAATGAAACGGTACAACTACAATAGCCAACAAGAGTAATAATCAAAACATGGCACGGTATGTCCCTTCGTGCATTAATAATCAAAACATGGCACGGAATGTCCCTTCGTGCTTTAATAAATCAAACATGGCACGGAATGTTCCTTCGTGCATAATAAGCAAAACATGGCACGGAATGTTCCTCCGTGCAATAATAATCAAAACATGGCACGGAATGTTCCTTCGTGCAATAATAATCAAAACATGGCACGGAATGTCCCTTCGTGCAATAATAATCAAAACATGGCACGGAATGTTCCTTCGTGCAATAATAATCAAAACATGGCACGGAATGTTCCTTCGTGCATTAATAAGCAAAACATGGCACAGAATGTTCCTTCGTGCATTAATAAGCAAAACATGGCACGGAATGTTCCTTCGTGCATTAATAATCAAAACACAAATCGTGCACGACATCAACCTTCGTGCTTTATCACTCTTCCTCACCCAAGCAGCAATCACAACCAATGGGGGCGAAGGGATAGAGAAACAGCAATAGAAGTCCCGGCAAGGGAAACACAAGCAAACAGTTAAAAATCCGGCAAAGGAGATAATCACAATTCTTTCTCATACTCTTCACATTATATAGAAATCATAAATTCCCCAAGGAAGAATCACAACGAAATTAGAATAACACAATAAGGACTCACGATCATGCTAGACACCAGTGCATAGATACTCGTCACCATGCCTATACACCGTACTCGACAATTAGCAACTAGCAAACAATACTCTAATCCTATTCCCTCAAGCCAGAGTTAGATCAAACACTTACCTCGAATGCTCCAAACTCAACTCAAGCCTCTAGTATAGCTTTACCCCTCGAATTCGGCTCCAACTCAGTCAAATCTATAAAATAATGACTTTACAATATTAATAATAGTTAAACAAACTAAACCCAATGCCTAAATATGAATTTCTAAGCTTTCTTCCCAAAATTCCAAAAATCGACCCCGGGCCCGCTTGGTCAAAACCCGAGGTTCGAACCAATTCCATGTCACCCATTCCCCCACGAGCCAGAATATACAATTAGTTTTTAAATTCGACCCCAAAACGAGGTCTAAATCAAAGAAAATTGAAAAGCCCTAGTTCTACCCATTTTCCCCAATTTACACCTTAAATTACATGATTTGAACCTAGGAATTGAATAAATGATGATAGAAAATGAAGAAAACGAGTTAGATAATACTTACCCAAGAACCTTTGGTGAAGAAGAGCTCTAAAGATCGCCTATGGGCTGTGGAGAAGATGAGTTCGTGTGTTTTGGGTGAAAAATCCCGTCAATGTTCTGTTTTGGGTATTTAAAATCACTGGGCAAAAATTGCTCTATGCGATCGCGGAAAGGGCATTGCGATCGCATAGACGAAAGGTTATTGGTCACTGCGATCGCGATGAGGCAAATGCGAACGCATAGAGGAAATATGACTGGGCAAGAAAAATGCTCTATGCGATCGCGAAGTGGACAATGCGATCGCATAGGGATGGGAAGGCTGGGCATTGCGATCGCACAAGGGCTGTTGCGATCGCATAGAACAAAACTAGGCTCTTTAAATGTTTACACTATGCAATCGCGGGGGAAGCTATGCGATCGCATAAAACAACGTACCAGATATCAGAACTGAGAATTTTCTGCAATTTTTACCAAGTTCAAATCACCCCGAACCACCTCCGAATCACTCCCGAGCCCTCGGGGCTCCTAACCAAACACACACACTAACTCAAAAACCTCATACGAACTTAACCGAGCGATCAAATCGCCAAAACAACATCAAAATCAATGAATCAAACCTCAAAATCATCATTTTTCATTCTAACTTCATAAGCTTCAAATTTTAGATATCTAGGTCCGAAACACGTCAAATGACGTCCGATTTCAACCAAATTTCACAGAAAGCGCTTAAACCATATGTAAGACTTGTACCGGGCGTCGGAACCAAAATACGAGCCCGATACCACATTCTTTTAATCAATTTTCATTTCCATTTTCCTTAATAATTTCAGAAAAACAATTTCACAGAAAAATTCTTTTCTCGGGCTCTAGGCCTCGGAATTCGACTCCGGGCATATGCCCGAGTCCCATATTTTTCTACGGACCCTCCGGGACCGTCAAATCACGGGTCCGGGTCCGTTTACCAAAAATATTGACCAAAGTCAACTTTAATCATTTTAAAGCCACATTTTGAATTTTTTTTCCACAGAATTTAACATATAAGCTTTCCGGTTACGCGCCCGGACTGCGCACGCAAATCGAGGCAAGTAAAAATGAGGTTTTCAAGTACTCGAAAGCGCGGAATGAATGAGGAAACAGGTGATGACCCTTTGGGTCGTCACAATTAGCAAAAGTATCGTAAGAAAATGGTAAAGAATATAATACAATCAAGACCTGATCCTCACTGTCAATTTTGATATCCGTATTTTTCAAGTCCATTATAATTGAATTAACTCATCAAGGTGAGTTGTAACAGGTATACCTTCGTTCATATGGAGATTGTATAATCTTTTTTCCAGGTAGAGGCGGTATGTCAGTGATTTCTTAGAATATAGATTTTCCAACTTCTTCCATGTCGTTGTTGCAGAAGTTTTTTCAGCAATATCTCCAAGAACGCTATCTATAACACTCATAAAGATCTCAATCAAAGCCCTTTCCTTCAGGTCTGCCTTCTTTGTCTCTTTCATCTCTTTAGAGAAATTCTAGTCAATTGCCTTCCATAACCCTTGGAACATCATGGACAATTTCATCCTAATCTTCCATAGATTGAAACTAGGACCCCCATCAAATTTCTCTACTTCGTACTTTGTTAAGGATAATGAAGACATATTAACTCTAGATTATATGTAGAAACTCGTACCTTCCTCTAATACCAATTATTGTGAAAGATCATGAGTTAACTAGCACACTCACACAAAGTCAATAGAGAAGAAAAAATAACACAAAAATTTTAACGATGTTCGGTTAAGCCTAATCCTCGGGGCAAAAATAGAGAGAGTTTTGCACTATGTATGAGAAGAAAAGCACAATACAATATGTAGAAACTAAAACTACCACCCCTATATATAGATTCCTAATAATCTCAAACCTATAAGAGGAAATTTTTCCCAAACCGACAAGGACAATAAGTTTCCTTTCTCAAATCTATTAGAACAATGAGTTTCGAAAACCTATAGGGATTGTGAGTTTTCTAAAAATACAAGGAAATAATTCAAGCTACAAATAACACCTAAGTAACTAGTACCTAAAAATCGGTTAAAAAATAAACGACGTAAAAAAGGACCAGGCTTAAAGAAACCCAAGAACCTTATTGTGTTCTAAATACAGAGGTAGTTCAAGCTCTGCATCACAAAGTTATTGGTCACTTTGTTGACCATATGTTTCCCGTAAACCGCACCTTCAAACTTCTTCATGCCATCTGTGTTGCGTACACACACATCTAGTGGTTCGGCTGAAACATCAAACTTGGGCTGTAGGAGAAATGAAACATGCATCATTAGAAACTATCATTAATCCATACCATCGTTCTGTTAATTTAATTATCAAAAGAAAAACAATGACTTTAACCTCATAAAAATAGGCCACGCAAACACGATATTTGCTAGTGTTATTAATGACCCTATGAACTATGGATTCATAATGCCCATTGGATAAAATCTGCCAATAACCAATAGAGATGAATAATTTAATTAGAGGTGTAAAAATAATAAAAAAGTTCAAAGTAAATTGTATACCTTTAACATGTCTCCAATATTACATATAAAAGTTCCTTTAACTGGTGGTGCAGCTATCAAATCGCCAGATTTGTTTTTTACCTTAAAACAATTCAAAATGATTAGTGAAACAAAACCAGAAATATGTTTCATCCACTACAACATATTAGGCCTTTAACTACCCCGGAAAAGTGTGGCCTAAACTATCAAAAAGTGTGGCATTTGGTAAAAGGCCACACTTTTTGACCTAAGACAACGCTTTTTCAGGGGTGGCCTAAACAAGCGTAACCTTTGCTCTAAAGCAACGCTTTCTAATGACCAAAGGCCACACTTTGTGTACACCCCTTATGGCAACTCTTTTCCAACACTACAACTACACTTTTGAAGCGTGGCCTTTGTTACGTAGAGCAACACTTTTAAAACGTTGTCTTCCTAACTATACAGGCCACACCTTTGCCAGCACTCTATAGCCACACATTCAAGAGTAGCCGTAGAGAATGTAAAACATATATTTCTTACAAATATATAGATTATTATCAAATACTTTTAGGTAATTGCTTGAGTATGGAGATCTCTCACATTAAATAAAAATAATAAATAATAAATTTCAAATGTATGCAATGAACTTCGAAAAACAAATATATTCATGTACACTATTAACTAACAAAGCCAAATGCATCAAGGTGCATACTAGCAATATATTTTACAAAACCGAATATATTCATATAGTGCCATGGCTAATAAACATCATAACTGTCCAATTGTCTTGATCAATAACTTCAAACATATGAAATTGACTTCACGCCACCATCCAGTGAATCGCCAAATATTTCCTACATATTCAAAGTGAACCTAAATATTAGATAGAAATCAATAGCATGCAAGTGCAAGCTTAATTGATGAAATATCACTTATATTGTTTTCATACAAAATCTAATGATAATGAAAATCATCAACTTGCTTGCTACCAGAAGGAAAAAATAGCTTGTCAAATTAGTGGGTTAATCACTGAGTCATGAACGGTAACCTAATTTAACACGAAAATAAGACATTATAGTTCTTTTAAAGACAGTGTACTACAAAGCACAAAAAGATATAAAAATGAGTATAGTAAAAAAAGATCACACCTCACATTAACGTATGCATAAGACAACTTGGTACAAAGCAATAACTCAAAGATGTTAAGTTAATCAACAATTGTACAATATTTGTCAGCAACATTTGTGCACCAGCACAGACTGTAGTAAGAAACATGCACTTAGTTTCCAACGAAAATAGTAAAAAATAAGTTTCAGAAAGATACAACAAGTAAGGAAGTAGTAAGAAACAATTCAATTTGCTCCAAAATAATGAAAACAATACCTGACAATTAGTCCGGCCAATGCTAAAGCATGTAATCCAATATAAATGTAATGAATGACAATTGAAAAATTAAAGCTTCTTATTTGCTACAGTAACAACTTAAATAGTCAAGTTTCTTGTTCACCTTCATGTAGAACTGGAAATAACTCATGTGCAAGATCATAATATTGATGAATCAATGATGTAATGTGTTCCAACATAAAGAAATAAGTAGAGAAATAACTTTTTACTTTTTTAGATACATTATTCCAAATACTTGCTTTTCAATATATTGCAAGCTTATCATGCATTGACTATAAAGAAAGCAACAAAAAAACTAGATCTATTTAATTTCTTTTGTACGAAATGCATATGATATGACTCTAAAATAATTTAATGGCAATTTATATTGATTTACTTTAGGTAGCTTAAGAAATAATCTCTTACCTAACTCACTAAGCAGCAGCAACCTACTGATTTAAGCGACTGAAAAAGTGTCAGATTTGTCCGAGTACATGTGTCAATCTCACTCCTTCCTTGTTGACAAAAGGAGGAATACATATCATCAAGATTATATCATAATTGTTTTTTGAAGGTGCTCCCAATAAGACATCTAGATCTAGTAAGAAGAGACGGGATATTATAAACTATCCAAAGATAGACTGTGTACTATCTTAACAATCTAGATTCAGTGCGCAAGATGGTTCAGAACCAATATAAACAACAGGAGCTATCAACATCTCATGCAACTCTGCTATGAGATTATCAAAAATAAAATTAACTACAACGAACTACATCAATACACAAAATATAGTCACCTCTGTATATTTTTTAAGACGCGTCGATTCTAGAGATAGGGAACTTTCTTCTGAAGACATTAGATACACAAGACTGAAAGAAACATAGAAAGAATTTTTATCCAGAATGATGTCCAAAATTATTAAAATGAATGTGATATCTTAATGAATCTAGAGTTTATTGCTGAAATATAAAATAAGAACACAACCCCCTAGATGTTCTAAACATGTATATGATGCACATGATATTTCTATTTACCAGAAAGGTACTTTAAAATATACCAAGTGCATCCGGCGGGCATTAAGACAACTTGATTCTCTAACAATAATTACAAGAGGCTGCAAATTATCAGAAAAACAAATTGGCATTATAGTCACCAAAGGAGAAAATCCCAAATCTGAACCAGCTACATAAAGACAATTGCTTTTCAAAAGTGGAACCTTAGCAATAGATATTTTAAAATGCAATCTAGACTAATGAAAGCTTTAGACCAATTAATGACGTAGCAACTGTTGGCTTCCTGTTCAATGATATTGTCTTGCCCCGCACTCAATCCGTGAATTCTATAGGAGTTCCTTTCAAATCCTAGTCAAAAAGAATTCAGTTAACGAATTATCTAAACCAAGGTAGTTTTGCATTAAAAAGTAACGAATAAGGGCGTGATATCTCCCTTATGGTATTGTTCATCGAGTTACTTTTCCCCCTATTTTCTAATGAGTGATATCTTTTCTTTTCTGTGCTGTCCATCTATTTGAAATCAAATAATTCTCAGTGGAACTCATACTGATTATGGTAAGACTTCTTATCTTTTCAAGGATGTCTCCCTTCACTTATTGATTGGCAATCATGAATATTTTTTTTCTCATCTTACAGGATTACTAAAATTACTCAACCAGGATGATGATGTAGTTGCCCTTGAGGTACAATTATATTCTTTTTCCCCAGTTTGTTCCTTTCTTTGGGAGCTACCGAGGAAGATTAGCTTCTAAGTCCTTAAACAATGCCTACACCCTATTTTTACCTCGTAAAGCCTCCTTTTACACCTTTGTTTTATGATCTAATTTTCATCCTGATTTATGGGGATGAATCTTTAGAACACAATAAGGTTCTTGGGTTTCTTTAAGCCTGGTCCTTTTTTACGTCGTTTATTTTTTAACCGATTTTTAGGTACTGGTTACTTATGTGTTATTTGTAGCTTAAATTATTTCCTTGTATCTTTAGGAAACTCACAATCCCTATAGGTTTTCGAAACCCATTGTTCTAATAGATTTGAGAAAGGAAACTTATTGTCCTTGTCGGGTTGGGAAATTTTTTCTCTTATAGGTTTGAGACTATTAGGAATCTATATATAGGGGTGGTAGTTTTAGTTTCTACATATTGTATTGTGCTTTTCTTCTCATACATAGTGAAAAACTCTCTCTATTTTTGCCCCGAGGATTAGGCTTAACCGAACATCGTTAAATTTTTGTGTTATTTTTTCTTCTCTATTGATTTTGTGTGAGTGTGCTAGTTAACTCATGATCTTTCGCAAATATTGGTATTAGAGGAATGTACGAGTTTATACATATAATCTAGAGTTAATATGTCTTCATTATATTTAACAAAGTACGAAGTAGAGAAATTTGTTGAGGGTCCTAGTTTCAGTCTATGGAAGATTAGGATGTAATCGTCCATGATGTTACAAGTGTTATGGAAGGAAATTGACTAGAATTTCTCTAAAGAGATGAAAGAGACAAAGAAGGCAGAACTGAAGGAAAAGGGCTTTGATTGAGATCTTTATGAGTGTTATAGATAGCGTTCTTGGGGAAATTGCTGAAGAAACTTCTGCAGCAACGACATGGAAGAAGTTGGAAGATCTATATTCTAAGAAATCATAGACATACCGCCTCTACCTGAAAAAAAGGTTATACAATCTTCGTATGAACGAAGGTATACCTGTTAAAACTCACCTTGATGAATTAATTCAATTATAATGGACTTGAAAAATACGGATATCAAAATTGACAGTGAGGATCAAGTCTTGATTGTATAATGTTCTTTACCATTTTCTTACGCCACTTTTGCTAATATATTGCTATATGGAAAGACAACATTTCACATGAAGATCTTAGTAATATACTAAAGTCAAAAGTGTTAAAAAAGAGCTTTTTAGAAAGTAGATATGAGGGTAAAGGCCTTGTGAGTAGAGGAAGACTATAAGAGAAAGACTTTAATAGAAAAATGTCAACAGCTAGATGGAAGTCTAGAGCAAGAAAGCAGAATTGTTATGAGTGCATGGAGCAAGGAGCAGGGAGCAGGGAGTAAGGTCACTGCAAGAGAGATTGTGGTAATATGAAAGAGAAAATATGGAAGAAGAAAATAGATAGTTTTGCAAATGTTGTTGACACTCGCAATTATTCTGATGATAGTGACTATGTAGGGAAAGTTTGTACCGTGATTTCTAGTCATGGCCATAATTCATGGGTTCTTGATACTGGTGCTACTTTTCACATGAGTCCATACAAGAATTGGTTTGCAACTTACAAGAAGATGAGTGAGACTATCTACATGGGAGATGATAATCCATTACCGATAGAGGGGTTGGTAACATCAGATTCAGAACGTTCCTTGGATAAAGAGAAATTTAGTTTCCCTTTCGACTTTGTATAATCAAGGGTATAAGTTTCACTCCGAGAATAAAATACTTAAAGTGTGTAAAGGTTCTATGGTACTCATGAAAGGTAAATTGCATTCTAAATTGTATCCTCAATAGGACCGTGTAGTTGAAGGAGAATCTGTTATAGCTTCTGGAAAAAAATAATCTGAATCGGTCTCCGTTATGGCACTTACGACTTGGTCATATGAATGACAAGGAATTGTCTTTGTTGAGTAAGCAGAATTATCTGGATAGATACAAAAATTAAATTTAAATTTTTGTGAGCACTGTGTATTTGGTAAATAGACAATGGTGAAACTGAGTAAGAAGGCAGAGCACAAGACTAGTGACAAGTTAGATTATATACATTCATATTTGCGGGGTCCAAATAGAGTTTCCTCCAAAAGTGGTGCCAGCTATTTTATGAATTTTATTGATGATTACTAAAGAATGGTGTGGGTGTATTTTTTGAAAATAAAAGAAGAGGCGATTTCGATATTTGTTAAATGGAAGACGATATCGAGAGGCAGATGAAAAGAAAAATTAAAGATCTTCGGACTGACAATGGT